CAAACTTGGCTTATACACGAGGATATACAGTAGTTAGATTTCAAAATCAGGACTTCCTGACTCCAAAGCCGAGTTCTTGTTGTCAGTGTTCTTGCCAACATGATTTCCTATGACTTCCTGGAAAAGGACATCATGCTTGGTCAAGGACAGGGTCAATGAAGAAGAAGACCCGCAATGGGCTGGGTGGACGCAGTGGCTGCTACAATGGCCTCAAGCACAGGAGCAATTATGAGCATGGCACTGGACCGGGCAGTGTTTTTTCTGCTGCAGTCCATGAATACACATACCCATGTAAATGCATGTGTGTTGTTACAATTCAACAGACATCTTTGTAAATCAAGCACCCCAGGCACTGATTTGAAAGAAGATAGATGGGATATTATGATGCAAATGCATATGGCATATTCCCAGAAAAATATGATTTGGAGGAATTAGAAAATGAGAGCATGGTTGAGCCCCCTCCCCCTTCTTTCAACTCAATCTTTTTGATAAACTCACCCTTCCAAATTCCCTCAGAGATTCTAAGAATCACATTTACAATGAAGTTGGAGGCATTCTTCTGTTCTAGTCCCTCTAATCAAGAATATCCCGTGACTTTTGTCCACTGTCATCAGTGGTTTGTATTATGAAGACAATAGGATTTTTAAATGCTTCTAGGATCCCTGTCCACTCCCTTGGGAAGACATGAGGTTTCTGCTGTCCTAAGGGTCGCCGTGAGTTGGACCCAATTCACAGCCCTCCCAACAGCAATCTGCACAGGAAGACCCCTGGAATGTCCTCCCCTTGAGAATCACAGTCACAGAGTGCATTTACTGTGTGTTGTCACATGGGAGATTTTCCAACAATCCTTCCCTTTGAACTTGATGGTTCCTCTTGTGTGGTTAATGTATTGACATAATTAAATGTGACTGGGGCTACCCATGTAAATAAGACAGTCAATGGAGGACCAGTCACAGCCCCAGGTTTGTCCTGAGGAGAGCAAAGATGGATTGTTGCTACATTGGGGTTCGTCCCAGAAAGCAGGTTCTGTGCCTCCCTAGTGCTTATGAATTTCCCGCCTTCAGTGTTTACCGTATTGATGATACCGGCCCACAGGAGGGCCATTCACAAGATAAACTGCTACCCAGAGGCCTTTTGAGAAAGCGGAGACCTGCTGGAGGATTTTGCATCTCCTTATAATAGCAATGGTGGAAACCTTATTATTGTTTCTGTGTGTGGAATTCTGCTGCCAACCGCAAGGTCGGCAGTTCAACTCCACCAGTGGCTCTGAGGGACAAAGATGAACCTTTCTGCACCCAAAAAGATTTGCAGACTTGGAAACCAGAAGGGGC